GTACCGGGGTTGTCGGTGAGTAGACCGGTCGTTTCTTACCCCCATCATTGACAGAACATTGCAGAGCAGCAGTTGAAACGCCGAGCCAAGAATGACGGCGGGTCTGCGGCCTGTGCTCCTGCGGCCTGTGCTCCGGACATGGGAGATAGGCCAAAACGCCGGTTACCCTCAATAGAAATCCCATCGACCACGTCAACGCTGAACACGTCGGAGCTCAACGTACACGTCCATGCCGGTGGAAACTTTTACAACATCCAGCCAGGCGCGGTCCTCAACATCGACGGGTCGGCGCGCTCCGTGGAACACTTCCCTGCGGCAGAGAGGAGGGCGCGGCCTCGGCGTGGGGGGTCTGCCTGCGAGGATCATGACCCCGACCCGCCCTCCCTCAGCAAGGACGCCCGGATCCCCTTGTCAATGTATGAGGACGGCGCAGCGGTCGAGTCTGCGCAGAGCAAAGGTGACGTTTTTAATTGTACCTGCTGTTGCTTCAGTCTATTGAGCTAGGGTCAAAAGACCTCAACCGTCACCTTCACCATTTTGATGGTCCCGACCCGCTTCACCGCGGGTTGTGGTATCTGGTTACCGCCGGCCGTAGGGTCGGTGTTTTCAAGTTCTGGGATGAGGCGGCCGAGCAAGTGATTGGGGTCCCGGACAACTGCTATAAGTCATATCGGAGCCGCGATGAGGCTGTTGAGAGATATCGGGTTGCGGAGCAGGAAGGACGTGTCCGCCCTCTTTAGATAGCTGCGATGCGGCCTTGGAAGCATGCTTTGTCTTGTGGTGCTCACAAAATGACGGGGACTATATACAAGGTCCTCCGCGCTTCGTGCGGCACCCTTGGGACGCGGATGGTAAACGCACGGAACGCTTTTGAGAACACTTCGAAATGGGTCGAGGTTAGATGAGAATTTCGTTGTATACAACGTTGTCAGCACCTGCAACATCATACGGGAACAAAATGCGAGCTGCATCTCGCTTACTAGCACGATACAAGACGTGTACAACCGCCCATGTTCGGGATGTGGATGAGAAGACGCGCGTGGGCGTTACGATGGCGATGACAGACCCCTCGGCCGTCGCTGTGCGCAAGCGCCCAAAAGCAGCGGCGGAAGGAATGTAGCACATGTCGTGGATTACAATGAGCCCGATCCCAGCCCGGCGTCGCGGCGCAGCTTCACAAAGGGCGGCTTCTGGGCGTCGGCAATGATGGACTTTGCGGGATGCGGAGGACTTCTACTGAGTAGGAAACAAATCCACCGCCGCACGACGTCAGCGGGCGCATTCGTGCGCTTTGTATAGATGCGGGATCTCCGGCTGAAGCTCGCTCTTCGGCTGGTCGGGAAAAGGAGGTGAGGCAATATCATTCTTATAGGAGCGTCCATCACCGCATTTGTAACGGAATCCACAGGCCTACAGGCCCTGAATGTTTAATTCACCTTCAGCCCCGGCAGCAATACAATGGACTAGCTGCATTGCCGGAGTTGTTGGAGCTTTGTAGCCGCCGATCACTGTATGGCCGCCGGCAATACATGTGTAATTTCTTTACTTCCACTTCAGAGCGAATACCATACTTCACGCGCAAGCTGTTCTCTCAGCAGAAGCCCTCCTGCCCCTGCTACTCGTCCGCCTGCTCGAGGCTGATGTGCCCCATCGGCCGCCAAATGTTCCCTGGCGTCGACTTTCAGAGGCGCATTTGTTCATTTTGCCCCGGAATCGTTCTGTGGCGGAGAACTTGTGAACCTTCTAGACGACGCAAAGCGAGGACCCACCCATCAATGTTCCACTCTACCCGTCCCACGGGTCACCGCAGACTTGTGGTCATCGAAATCGCCCACAACACTCGCGGCTCACCCCCCCTCCGGCTGGGCGCCAACGCCAGCACCTTCCTGATCCTGCCACGTCCTAGATGCCCTACTAGAGGGGAGGTGCACACCCAACGATCTTGCCGCTGACACAGCGCCCTCGACATGGTAAACGGTGCGTCTACTACGCGGGGTCGGTCAGCATGCAGTGGACCAAAAAACAGCAAACGCACCTGCGAGAGCCCCCTCTGCGTCTCGCGCGATCATCGACGCCGTTTGAAACATGTCGGGGTAGCGGAAGGAAGCGAGACTTTCGCCCATAACTGCGAAACCTCAATCCATCGTGTAATACGTTCACTAAATCGTTCAGAACAAAAAGCCCATCAGGACATACCTCAACACGTTCTTGTCATAGCTTTAAACGTTTCATAGCCGTCCGATGGGTTTAACGAGAGGGGGATGGAAATAGCAAGTGTGACGTACAGCTGCGGTCACTAAGTTTGCACCGAGCGCTGAACGCGCGACGCGCGTCAACAAAAAGGGAAATAGATACAAATTCACCCAAAAATCGCCAGCAGTAAGACGAGCGTGTTTCTTCTCTCCCTCCCCCTCGCTAGATGCCCCCGACGGCCATGGAAAGTTGAAGAGCGCATCGGGCGCGTGTTTGGGCACGATATGACGCCTTTCCGCGTTTTCAACGGCTGAGTTGACGCATCGCGCGGCAGGTTGGGGTCCGGCAGCCATGGGCGACGATCTCGCCTCCGTTAATCGCCGCGAACTATGTCAAGCCACGCCAAAGTGTGTGTATAGGGTGTGGAACAGGTAAGAGCCAACTGATTCTAACCCCTCCTGCATTGCTCGGAAGACGTCATATACCCCCAGCGACGTCACCTTATTCCCGAATCCCCAACGAATCCGAGCACCACCACACTGTGAATGGATTGTTGTGCCTGCCGTTCCTTGGGTCTCTCAGAGCTTGGATATGTGTTATGTGAGTCTTTTTGATTTAAGGTTGCACCCATCTTGCTCGGAGGGCTGGGGAAGTGTTCGGTGAAAGGAAGGCATGCATATGTCCACAACTATCATACATATGTACAGTTCCTTGTACCTATAGTTCTAATGCGAACGATGTAACTCGTGCAAGAGATAAACGAGCAGCTCACCAAGACCGGCATCCTCTCATTGTATGAACTTTGTACTACTCGCCCGCTGCTGCACCTCCACCACGGCGCCAGCAGTGTTCACCCTCTGGGACTTTGACGGATGCGGAGACGGGATGGATCACGGAGGGGTGCATTTGTGACTTGACCACGGAGCGAGGCCATTTGAAGTACGTCGAGGCGATTAATGGAGGCGAGATCGTCGCCCATGGCTGCCGGACCCCAACCTGCCGCGCGATGCGTCAACTCAGCCGTTGAAAACGCGGAAAGGCGTCATATCGTGCCCAAACACGCGCCCGATGCGCTCTTCAACTTTCCATGGCCGTCGGGGGCATCCAGCGAGGGGGAGGGAGAGAAGAAACACGCTCGTCTTACCGCTGGCGATTTTTCGACCATTTCGATTTAATTTCCCATTTCTCGCGACGCCCGTCGCGTTTTTCAGCGCCTGGACAAGCTTTCTGTACGCAGCTGTATTACAAAGGTTGCTTAATGCGGACGTTGTATAAGCGCTGGATTACGCGCTGGCGCTGTCTGGCGGTGACGCCGCCAGCTCATCAGCGTCAGCCTGATCACCACAACCACCCTCCGTTCCCAGTCCGCATATCATCTGGTATGAATTCCTTCTGCGGCACACGTTTTGTGTAGCGCTTTTTGCGCTCGCTCCTATCCCATCCCCCGAATTCAGTGCTGTTCCCGCCAACCGTCGTTCCGCACAACAGGTTGACCTATACATGGTACGCATGTGCGTTGTTTGATCAATAGTCCAGCTAATATCCGACCGTTTAAGATTCCCTACACGAACGACAGTCGGTGAAGCACAAGCATTCGCCGCCGGTGTGCGGGCAGATGGCGCCTCGTTCTCGCCGCGACCAGGATGACGGACGCCACGGGAGGGACGGCGGCAGCTATTCTGCGCGCTGCCCTCTTACCGGGAAGCCCGGAGCGTCGATGGTCGTTTGACCTCGAGTTCGCGGGCTGCAGCATTGATGGCATTTTTGTCAAAGATGCTCCTGGGGCAGGTGCCACTCGTCACTTCGGTGGCTTCGTGGGTCCATCACCTGTTGCTGGTACGGGCGATGGGAGGGCGGCGAGGACGACGGGACGAAGGGGTTCGGCGTTATGAACATGGGTGCGTGGTTCATTTCATGCATGGGTGGACAAAGTTTGACGCATCAACTTCAGGAAGTCGGGACGCTGTTTGCATTATTCCAGATGTCCTGTCGACTTGACAAATGGTTGATATCGGTGAAGCACGTTATGGTCGTTTGGCGACTCAGGTTGTTGTTTAATGAAGTCGACAGTTTCAATATGCTGTGAAATGCACGTGTTGTGTATGCAAACAAACGGCGTCGAGATCGGATATGGGGCATTGGGTCATTGTCGGACGGCGTAATAAGGAAGTTGCCAGACTTCGTCTTTGCGACGCATTTATGTGAGCCTGCCACTTCGATCCCTCAGCATAGTGTGCCTCTTCACTGCTCCCAATACTGATGAGGAACCACGTAGGCAATCGTCCCAGCAACAAAATGCCAAATGACGTCTTCTGCATTTGCAGCAAGGCAGCTGTCACCGGTTCCTCGAGTCAACGGTCTGCCTGGAGGCTTGCAGCCCTGAGCGGTATGTTGGAGCTTTCTATTGTTCATATGCATTATTCTCAACAAACAACTTCCCCCGAAAGGTCGACCCAGATGGACCCGTGCCCTTCATTTCGATGCATCGCTTCACTCAGGGAGAGGCCACTGAGTGGGCTCGCTGACCACGGTCCTCGCTGCGACCAGGAAGACAGAAGCCACGGATGCGAGGGACAGCGGTGGCTATTCTGCTCACCGCCCTCATATCGGGAGACCTCGAGCGATGATGGTGCGTTGACCTCGGGCTCGGCGGTTGCAGCATTGATGGATTTTATGTGGAACATGCTCCAGGGGCGAGGTGCCGTTCATCACCGTTGCGGCATGGTAGGTCCATTACCTGCCGGCTTACGCCAGGAACTCACGTGCCGACGCCACAATGAGAGACCGTGCCAAGTAGAAAAAGAAAGTTGTTGGTGCCAGGAATCAGACGGCCGCCGGTGCTGGGTGCGTACACTGGAGTACGGCAAAGAACGGCTTATGCAACTGCACTGTGACTATTAGCATGGACGTCCCGGCGAATACGTTGAACAACGCGGATTTTCGGTTTCCAACGAAAGAGTCATCATCGGCGCCGATGCATAACATGCGCCGCCGTTGTGGATCGTGATAGGGACGTCGACGGAATCCGGGCGGATGGTTGCGCCTACTAAGGGCCTGGTCGGCTGTCCGTGGGATGGGCTGGGTTCCCGCCAAAATGATCCCGCAGCACGATGGGCTGTGGGCTCGGGAGGGGTAGGCGCCCATCTCGGTGGGCGCGGGAGCCCATCCCACAGCCCATCCCACGGGCAGCCGACCAGGCCCTCAGTCGCGCGGCCGCGGGCGTACACCCGCCGCGGGTGGTACGTGCAAGCGACCATCAAATACCCTGTAGGTACCGCACCACCCGCCTGAGCGGACACACACTGGAAGGTCCTTGGCTGCACCTGCCGACAATGTACGCCGTCTAGATTACGCTCATTTTCTTGTTATTCGATCATTTGTCGCGAAATTATATCGTCCCCATCTCCTAGGCGTCCATGGCTGTCCGATTTTCATTGATCGCTTCAACTATCCGGCGCTCTCAAACGGTGTTCTCTATCACCGGACACCGATTGGCTCGGACGGCGCGCGGCAGGAACCGAGAGTCGGGTCTGGGTGACAGTTTTGCGCAATACCGTCGGCGATGCATACCTGTACCCCCTCCCGGCCGCCACGATAGTGAGTCTCATCAACAAGTCCACTTCCCATATGCGACGATAATCCAATATAAGAGTGTAATACGACTACAGGAATGCGCGACTTGCGGCATGGGCATCGAAGGACCGGATCCACCGCACCTCAGCGCAGCGCCTGAAGCAGACGGCCGGCAGCTAATTTGGCAGCTGTTTCGGCACAAGCTTCGAGATACCAAATCAGCCGCCTCGTAGACCAAAGGTGCATGAGAAGTACTTACCCTTCAGCGTCGTCGCAATGTCGAAGTCTGCCCTCTGGATCTCCTCGCGCATAACCTCGGCCTCTTCCCGCGAGATCTCGACGGGCCTGCGGTTCGAGCCGTCCACCTCGACCCGCCACCACCGATCGACCCGCGTTCCCTTCGCCGATTCGCGAGATAAACGTGAGTCGGGCCATGATAGGTTGACTCGTTCCCCGTCGCCCCATCCGCCGTTCCACATCTCGTTTTCCGCGACCCGGGCCTCAATCGCTCGGCTGTGAGACATCGCGATGACCCGCAGCGCCGGCAGACCCGCGGCTAACTCGTACGGGATTGACGCCAGCCCCTCGGCGAAAACCCTCTCGGCTTCGCGGTGAGACTCCTCCTCTTCAGGCGTAACATCACCCCAGAGCATATCCACCGGGAGTGGTCCACATCCTGGAAGACAATAGAGATTAAGGTAGCTGATGGCTGTACACCTGAGCGCAGCCAGCAGCATCGCCTGTGCGGGGCGTCGTGCGCGATAAAACGATAGTAAGCAAAGCTACGGAGGAGTGAGATAGGCGGGGACTCTATACCGACCTTGTAATCGGCGATGTTGCAATCCCCATCTGTCACGGTGATCTCCAAGTAGCGTAGGCGAGGGGCGCCTTGAAACAGTCCGTGCCACATTTGTTCCCCGTCCGTCAACTCGCCTGCTGAGAATACCTCCACGGCGATGGGCCGGGCCGACTGAAGAAGAGGGACGAGCGGCCGCACGTCGTCGATGCCGGACAAGGGGGTGATGGTGCCGCCCAACGATATCAACCCAACTTCACCCACGCGCATGACTGTCCCCGCCGGAATGTCGATGCAGGAGAGGACGTGAAGCTCCGCAAGGTGGACGAGCGTTCCACCTGCTGCCGGGATGTCGAAAAGCGGCGCGGAAGGCCCCGCCAGCTCGACAGCACACGTGTTGAGGGTGTCGCAGAGGTTGATGAGCGCGGCGGTAACGTCAGGAAGGCAGATGAGCGACAGTTGCTTCAGCGATGTGATGGGGGATGAGGGATCGGCTTGAGGGATGGCCGGGACGTCTAGGGAACATATGCTCAAGGAGCGCAATGTCGGAGAGGAGGAGACGAAGGCGGCGAGAGTGTTCAGGTCGAATGCGTCGTCAACGGCTGAGTACCACCATCCGTAAAACGTGAGAGCAAGGGAAGTTAGCTTCTGCGCGGACATCATGGCCTGTAATCGTTCGATAGTCTATTTCAAAGACTCAAACATCTCTTCCTCATACTCGCCCAGATATGACCTCCATCCCTGGTCTTGACGACGACATCTTTCTCGTCGTGTTCTCCTTCTTGGACAGGAAGGACGCACTCGCGGTGTCCTCCTGTGCAAAGAGACTCTACTACGTGGCAATCCCGGAGGCTTTCAGGTCCTTCAACGTTCGCAAGAACCGGAAGGATGAGGGATGGAGCCATCCAGACAAGGCTCTTAAAGCAAGCGCGTGCTCCGACCTGCTTCAAAGGAAGGCCTCGTTCTATAACGGGGTTCATCGCGGTCGACACCTTCACCGCTTAGCACTCCGTATGTTTTCCAAACGGGATTTTCTTCATTTCCCCGTCCTCCTCGCCGCCCCCGACCGGTTGCAGACCTTTTACCCGGGCAACTTGGAGTCCCTTCTGAGGGAACACAGTCGCGTCGCTGAAGACATAGGCAACATGACCGAGCTCAAGCAGGTCATCCTTCGCGAAGTAGGGCCCTGGACTATGGAACGACTACAGGCCATGCTGTCCGCGCAGAAGCTAACTTCAAAGGTGAAATGTAATACAGCAACGTGTGGTATTTCTGCGAGTTAACCGACGGAGCCAGTTGACAATCATCAGGCATCGAAAGTTTGCCTCAAGTACGTTGCTCCGTCTCACATGGTCCGTCCGCAGGCTGCACCGCCGCGGAAGCGCCCTAACCCGCGGGGCGCCCGCGCCGAAAGTAGGTGAAGTCGGGCGCGCAATGCTGCGGCGCCGCTGTTGGAGCACGCGCGATGCGCGCTAGCCATTGTCTTGATGCCGCCCGGACTTACGCTCTGCCATGGTCTATCCTACGATACCATTCCGTTTCTGCTTGCCTCGCGTTCTCCTGTTCCTGCTTACATACACGTGCACCGGTCCGTAGCCATCAGTCCTGTCTGTCACTTATACCGTCTCGCCCGCGCAGCGCCTCCCTCAGTCTTGCACTCTGCTCGAGCGCACCGTACTGAGGGTGAGCGCGCATTTCTTTATCCCGCTGCATTCTGCTTTTGCTCACTCTGTACTGTAGTCTACTGCGTATCACTACAGGTACAGAATATATTAGTCTTGCACTCTGCTCGAGCGCACCGTACTGAGGTCTACTGCGTATCACTACAGCTGCTACCGCTCACAGCCGCGGCCCGACTCACAGCCGCGTTCTGAGGGCTGGCCCAGCCCCGGCGTCGGGGTCCAAACCGCTCGACGGCTCCCCGCAGTCTTCAACCCCATCGTATCCCAGTCCTTGCCACCCACCCTGGGTGTGAAAGAATTCCTTGAGGCGCTGTACCTCTCGTGCGATGTCTACGGCCCAGCGGATGGCAGCGGATGCAGATCCGGATGCTTCTTTGGTCGAGCCGGCGATAATATCTGCAGCCTTCTCCCATGACACGTCGGCTTCAGCGAGAGAGGGGTGATTCATCATGAGCCGTTCCCTTGCGTAGAGCTGATCGTCGAGGCTCCCAGTACTGTATGCGCCAGATGCCAGGAGTATATCGCCTGCCACGGATAGCTGACGGACCCCGACCGTTCCGGATAGAGATCGACCGCGGGCCCCTGGTGTCGTAATCTCTTGCCCTGGGCATACAGAAATTACCTTTTTTGAGGGGCTTTGCATGTGAGATCGATGCGGTGTACTCACCCTGAAAATTCATTACGCTCCGAGATCCGTCGTACCGTCGCAACTTTGCTTCGACGGCTATGGCCTTTGCGACCCCATCGAGCTGCTCCATCAGGGACTGCACATCGTGGTAGAGCTGAAGGCATGATAACGGGCGATTTTGGCCGCTGAACAAGACTTGCAACCGGATTAGAACGTCTTGCAATCTTCTGTACGCCAGCGCAATGGATCTATAAACATCTCGCCCTGGCATGAAAGCGACCTTGGTTGCAGGTCAGATCTTTTGAGCAACCGAAATAGCTTCTCAGGCTCACCGACGGTTTATCCGTTGGAGACCAGCGGGCCGCTTGTACATCTGCGGAACGCTGGAAAGTTTGAAGTTGCAGCTGCAGATGGCGTGAGACTTGAATCCGAAGGTCGATATCTGGATCGATTGCTGCTTGGGCTGGGGGCTGAATCCCCGGATCCGCAACGTGTCCACTTGATCGCATCTCGTCCTTGCCATCTCGAAGGTGTTCCTCGGCTTCTCCTCCTACAATCTCGGACCTCTCCTCAAATGTCATGTCTGCTCTCCCGGGTACGGATCGCTGAGCGATTTCCCCGGCTCCACGTTGTGGCGGCGTCAGTCCTGAAACCGCTGCAGGTTCGTACTGGCGTCCGATTTCGGGCTGAGGGGCGTTCTGAGGATCTCTTGCTACGCCGCTCCCTCGGCGATCGACGGCGATCTTACGATCCTCTTCGTAAGGATTGATTGGTTGGAGACCTGCGGGTCGTAAGTTACGCCAAGATCGCCCTAAAAACAATGAATGTGACCGGGGTGAAAGATGTAGAAAGGCCGCTCACCCGGTGGAGCCGATGCTCGTCGCTTAGCCCAGTCTTCCGGCATGTCTGCTTCAACAGGGAATAACATTGATATTAAAAACATTTTCGTGGAAGGTAAATGTTACCTTGGGCCTGCGATGAAAGATTGGAAAGTGGAGGTATCAAGGGATCCCCGCCTACTACAGCGCTGTGTCGCCGTAAGTTTGGCTTCTCCTCGAATCAAATCAAAAGGAGACCCCTACCTATCAGGTGCCATATTACCCCCCGCTGTCGTAGTTGCCGCCTTCCGTAGTTGGAGGCGTGTGCGCGGCCTGGTGTGAAACTGGCTCAAGGTTTGCGCGGGCTGCTGCTTTGAAGCGGCGTCCCCTCTTTCGGTCTCGCCGTTCTGAAAGGGTCTGTCTACTGAGTCGTTTGTTTGCCCTAACGTTCGGGAATCAGTCTCGCGGAGAAACGCGAAGGGTCCGGTGATGTCGAGTGCGCGCCGGTTAGCACCCCAGATTGGCCCTTGCTGCGGGGCTTCATCGGTAGTATTCGGTTCTTCCTCTTTAATGCGATCCAAGTACATTCGCGGTTTTTTGCACCCATCTGGACGACCATTCTGTGATGAGGGCGGGCAGGTAGCCTTATCGCGACCTCGTTTCTTCGATTCGCTTGGGCGTAAGGGTTGCGGGCTTGGCGGCCGGCTGGGAGCGGCGGACGACGCAGATTGAGGCGGCAGCCCTACGCTCGCCGTGACGGTCGACTGTACTCCAGCTGGTAGCATCGGATACATCAGCAGTCCCTCCAATTCCAGACGCATGTGTGCTCACCGCCGCCGAGAAAATTGGCTGCGCCCCCATTGTCAACAAATTTAGTCAAAACAGTTTTGTTGCTCGCAGTTTCCCGGCGCCGCAGAGGGAGAGCTTTCGTCGGTCTGGCAGTGTAAATACCGGAGGGTGCTGAAAAGCACGTTTAAAAGACGTATACTAAAACGCAGGCGGTGGGTCTTACTGCTTTCTGAGCCGGTTCCGGAAGTGCTCGGGTTTGGGGCAGCTGCAGACTCCAAACCTCCCTGACTGTCGTCGTCTGCACGTGGTTTTGAATCAGATTACAGTATATGTATGGCATAGATGCCTTACCGGGAGCGTGCTTTCCCGGTGGTACAGCCGCATTAATCGCGAAACGCAGCATCGGCGGTTTCAACGCCTGCTTAACCCACCAATCTGCACCCCTTTCATAAAATGTATACAATCGCAATCATGAAGCGAGGCCCACCTGCGTCCTTCCACCAAGCGCTAGAAACTTGAGCCTCGGGCAAAAGCTTCACGTACCCGCCGTCGTCCGGGGTTTGCGCAATTCTACTTGCTCCTTCAAACTGCCCCGGTAAAGAGCCGTCCTTGATCGGAATGAGGTGTGCAACAAGGATGTTGTCTCGAACTTGCGCTTCGTTTAGATACTGCCCGGGGCGTAGCTTCCGTCGGAGAATCTTTATAACTCGATCATTTTCATAGATTGCAGCGAGGGCCAAAGACGGTAAGGACTTAAGATTTGCGCCGCCCCAATGTGCGTACTGCCGGTTAAGTCGTATGATCAGGGAGCGTAGCTCCAGGTCGTATGTCTTTTGACTGTCCGCGTTCATGAGGGTCGCCTGATAGTAATACCAAGCGTAGTGAAGTTGAGATGAGAGATCCGACATTGCTGCGGCCTGTTCGCCGGTCATGGGGGATGGCTGCTCAGCTTGTGTCATGATAGGTTGGGGATCGGATGGAGATCGAGATGGAGAACAGGATGGCGAGGCCTGGGATGCGACGGGGCTGAAGACTGCGTGGAGCCGCCGAGCAGTTTGGACGCCGGCGCCGGGGATGGGCCGGCCCTCAGAACGCCGGTGTGAGTCGGGCCGCGGCGCGCCGAAGCATTGGCCGCCCGACTTCACCTATTTTCGGCGCGGGCGCCCCGCGGGTTAGGGCGCTTCCGCGGCGGTGCAGCCTGCGGACGGACCATGTGAGACGGAGCAACGTACTTGAGGCAAACTTTCGGTGCCTGATGATTGTCAACTGGCTCCGTCGGTTGACTCGCAGAAATACCACACGTTGCTGTATTACATTTCACCTTGAGCTGGGATATCCAGATATATGGGCGATTGAACTATTCGACGAGGGCTGCGCCATGCTGCATCCACCGCCGCCGGCGACACGCTGCAGGCGTCATCGCAAAGGCACAGGTACTCTGTCTGGTCGAAGCACCGCCGTGGTAGATACATGCACGGTGAGGGAGCTTGCTCCCGAAGAACACCGGGAAGGCTAGGAGATCCACACAGATTATTCGGGCGTGGAGCACTGGGTGCATGGCACCGCGTACACAGCGAAATGTATGTATATCGCGAGGAGTAGCATGAGAGCTCCCGACCCAATCGACCGGAGCGCCTTCCCTTCACTCCACCCACAAGAACACCGAACCATCGAAGACCTAAAGCCAGATACGTCCGAAATCCGCCGGTAATATGCCGTTTTGGCACCAACCGACCCTGCAAA